TTGATTTAACGAAATTTGATCACATATATCAATATACAGTTCAACTTATAGGGCTTAACTTTCAGCACCGTCGTAATAACTAGTTCTTAACAAGTTTTTTTTTCACTATGCTTTTCACCGCATTCATTCTTCTCCTTATTTTCCTTGGGTCCTCCTTCTCAACTACCTTCTTAACCTTTAATCATATAAGACCTTGCTAGCATTGTTTCTCAGAAAATGATGGCAACTGTTATACACCACACTGCAAAGGTTGCTAACAATAAATATATGATAATGACGTTTAGTATAGATTTCTCAGAGTTGAGATATTTTTACGCAGTAAAAAGTATCATATATGTTAACCCGGATAACAAGCTATCATCATATCAAATTTCATCAAAATGTCCAGTGGTTTTCTCGTGATGCATTCCCAGACAGACAGACAAACATTCTAAAAACTATACATTCGGCTTCTGTATCGATTAAGATTTTCCAAAAAATCTTTATTGTACAGATTTGACTCGGTTAGACTTTTATTATATTTATAGATTTAAGTTAAATGTCATTGTGAAGCTACTAGCTACTTTTAAAGTGCATTTTATATATTGGTACCATAATATGATTTCTGCCAAAATCGGTACCTGAACACATATTGATTCGGTTAAATTAAGTAAAATTGCCCAACCGCTAAAGTAAAGTTTAGAGCAATAATTAAATAGTATAACGTTTCACAGTTTGAACATCCGCTCACGCCGAGTGAGTCATTCGCTGTTTATATTTGATATAAATGTAAGTAATATTGGTCAAGTAAAATACCTTATAAAGTAAGTACAGTCACTGATCAAATTTATATACATTTAATTGTTTAAAACAAAACTCTAAGTATGGATATTAGTTACAAAATTGAACAATTTAAATGTCACGTTAATATCCGCAATATTTTAATGGCGAAGTATTACTTACATTTTAAATAAAACTATTTTTTTGGATTTTTAGCGAATTTATTTTAATTTTTGGTTCCTGACGTTTCAGATGCTTTTTTAGCTCCCCCGTGACAATGATTGCTGTAAAGCATTCAAAACGTCGGAAACTAAAAATAAAAGTAAATTCGCGAATAATCCGGAAAGATACATTTATTTAAAAATAGAAATCGATGTAAAAATTAAAAAGGCTTTAAGTACTAGAGTCGAGTTAAATATAAATTTTTAATTAAACCTCTGAGAATTCCTCTTAACCCATTCACCTTATGGGATAATGTGTAATAACGATGAAATATCGATATTTATAAATTAAAAAAATATACAACATATTATAAAAAAAATCTCTGTACTATTACATCAAAACTAAATTAGAACCTGCAATATGAAATTAAAGCATGTTGTCTAAACTTAGGACCAACCACAAAAGTTTATTAGAAGTGTATTGGTTCTTTAAAGTAATGCAATCAATTGTTTCTCGTCGTGCTACCTCGAGTACCATATGTGAGTCGATCGGACTCCACTTAATTACTAAAGCCGAGTTAGGCAAGCCATATGGTCCTTGCATACAACAAATACTAAATCTATTTATTTCTAGGTAGAGTCTTATTGGCCTGTTAAACTTGCCTATTAGAGATTTGAACATAAAATTCAAATATAAATTAAACATAGATTTTTAGAAATATGTGTCTTTTTCAGTTTATGTCTCGGCTCTTATTTATTTAATATTAAAATTTATTAAGTATACCTATATTTAATCCCTCCACGACCGCGGACACGCCAGCGTTAGATAATATAGGATAATAGATTTCTTAGGAATTTAATTAATTTCTTAGATTTCTAAATTTTTACCTGGAGGTGCTAAACATATTCAGAATAATATACCAAAATTGTCATAGTAATAGAGGTATAACCTATTAAACTGAATTTGAAAGAACAGTCTATTTCATTCCATTATATATTTATAGTTTCAAATAGAAACTTTACAATGTCATTGTTTCATGTCTGAGGACGGGTTTGGTCGCAAATGACCCGTGAAATTGCTAGATATCTTCACTGGTCTGGAATGCATACAAAAAGAATCATATACGTAGATAATATAAACATACTTAACTAAAACAGCAATATTATTGTAACATTAAAGCAACTAAAATCTAAATATACTTAAATAATTTCGTTATTATGTAAAATAGTCGTTAGAGGTAAGTAGAGTAATTATTCACTATTTTTTTCATGATATATTTATTATTTTTAACAATAATGGCAATGGTAGCCCAGTGGTAACGCGCTCGTTTGGAATACCGAATGAAGCGGGTTCAAATCCGGGTCTCGCACCTCTGCTATTTTCATGTGTGAATCATATCTAACATGATTACTACTTGCCTTACGGTGAAGGAAAACATCGTGAGAAAAGCTGCATGTCTTAGAAAACCTAGCAAGTTTTCGAAAGACATGTGAAGTCCGCCCGCACTTGGCCATCGTGGTGGACTATGGCCTGATCCCCCTCGTACTGAAGGGAGGCCCACGCCCAGCAGGGACGTTAAAAATGGCTGAATACAACAATAATGAAAAAAGAAAATTACAAATATACTTAATTATATATACAAAACAAATGCACCAAGAATAAATAAATACAAAACAAGGCAAGAATGCTAGCCGAAACTATTTTGTTTTGAAAGAAAGATTAGTACTTCAAAGAGAGGCTCCTCTTGAGTAGTTTCCTTTAACCAATCGGATTTTGTTTAGAGATATCTACATCAATTGCAAAATTAATTCCTATGATTATTTGATAACAATAATGTCCTCTTGAGCGATTTAGCCACTAACAATTTTTGCACCAATTTAGCAACAAACCGAGGTTCGAACCCATGACCGAATCATCTGAGACCAATGTGGCAGTTATGTTAGATAGAGAAAGATCCCACGAGATGTGAACAACCCCTTGGTTGTATAGTTTGCCTCAGCAGACCTGCCGTCGGGGCGTTATAGTTGAATGCGTGAGCGATCCTGCGACGCCCCATTAAGACGAGGGAAGGTTCTGTTGGATTTAGTGGGTAGTATTGTCTTTTCTAGCCAGTCCTACTATAACCACCTTTGGTATGCAGGTGGTGTGCCTAAATACATTTCCCAATATTAAAAAAAGGTCTATTACTAAATTTTATGCAAATCTGTTGAGCTGTTCCAGCTTAAGGAAGTAACAAACATACAAACTTTCGCATCTCTGTTACATTTTTTTATTACTAACAGTGTCTCATAATGTTAGTAATAAAAAAAAGTGTTATGCCGCGCATGGCGGTTAACGTTTATCAAAAGGTAAATACATACATATTACATGGATATTAAATAACATAAGTATTAAAAAACTCGATGTTTTTGTATGTATCGATTTGCAAAATGAACAAGGAAGCCGCGCGAAGCCACGATACGTCTCTATTATAGAACCATGTTAAAAATGTTCTGCTGCAAGTTTGCTCACATTATTTCTCCAGGTGCTAATAAATAAAAGACATGCAATTCAAAACATTTATTTATTTTAATTTACAAACCCATACAACATTTTGTAAAAACAAACAACCAATTTTATAACGATATTAAGATTCATATCGATTTAATAATATATTAGTATAGATCAATGGCACTTAACTAAGTTACTTTTGTTTAAAAATAGAAGAAAACCAACAAAAAAACTTTGTTTATTTTAACATTTTTTTATAGATATTACAAAATAAAATCAATTTAAATTACTATAAGTAATTTATTAATAACCCTCGCTCCGCTCGGGTACGTCCCTAGTTACGTTTTAACGTTTAGTATAGATTAGGTACTCAGAAATGAGATATTTTCCCGCAGTAAAAAGTATCCTATATGTTAACCCGGATAACCATCCGGATTACCATATCATATCAGCTATAATCATATCAAATTTCATTATTCAAAATCTGTCCAGTGGTCTTCTACTGATGCGGTCACAGACAGACAGACAAAAATTCTAAAAACTATAGATTCGGCCTCTGTATCGATAATAATGTTTATTTCAATAAGATTTTCCAAAAAAAGTTTAATGTACAGATTCGACTCAGAATTTTATTATAATAATGTATAGAAGATTAAGCTTTAGAAAAATTTCAAATGAAAGACATTACCTTAACATTATAATAAATCTATACCTTTGGTACTTATTTAAGTAATAAAATGGTAATACTGAAAATAAATAACTTTTAACAAAATTTTCTTTTATTTACAAAACAAATCGATTTTTCGATACCTATTCGGTTTATTCAATTACCTATAATATGAAATAATTTTCGCATAATTCCTATATATATAATGTGGTAAAATAATATTGAAGTTTGATAATAACTAATAAAAAATAAGATATGAAGAACATTTTGAAGAAAACCTGTCTAATTTATGGTGATGGTATAAAATGTACCTAAATGAATATTCTACAAATTCAGTTATACAGACGACAGCTGTAGTAGTACTGTGAGATGTGTCCTTTTTAATTTACAAATATATACATATAAAGTGCTTAACAATAAGATTTATTTCATGAAGTGCCTTTAAAAGGGTAATTCATATCTGGTGTCTTAGATAAGATGACATTCAACAAATGTTAAACAAAAACTAATAAATACTTTCTAGCTAAAAAGAAATGTACAAAATTAAAGTTCAATATTACTGTAGAAGTCACTATTTCTTGAAATTTATATAGGATTTTTTTTTATTTATTAAAAAAAGGATTATAGAAATGGTCCACAATTGGCAAAGATACAGCATAACGGATATACTTACTACTTTCTTTAAGTCGGTTAAAAAATTGTGGACATAATATAAGTACCTATCTAACCTATATATATGAATTTTCTATTAGCAATTTTTGAATGTCAACTAACTAAAGATCGACTTAAAGTGTATTGCAGGTGAATTCATCAACAAAAAGCCTTAGAAATCCCTAGAAATACATATAAATATTATCCACAAGCTCTCGTGAAACTAACTCAAGTTAAAAAAAAAACCATAAGACTTTCTTACATACTTTTATAAATCAAAAGCACCTTCCTGCTGTCCGGTCCTGAGGAACTGTTCAGAGTTGGTCTTCGTAAAGATGAAGGGCGCGGCGCGGGAGGGGCACTTGAAGTTGCGCATGAGGATGGGCGGCACGTTGTCGGACTTGTTCCCGACCGGTTCCAGCAAATTATTCCAGAGGAGGTTTGCAGCTATAAATAAATAAATATGTTGGGATATTAACACACAGCACCATTTAGTTCCATGGCAAGCTACGAGGCTTTTGTTATGGATACCAGATAAATATAAACACCCGTGACTGGAGTACAAACATCCGTGCTCATCAAACAAATGTATGCCTCAGTGGAACTTGAACCCGCGACCGCTGGCACAGAATGTAAGGTCACTACAGACTGAGCCAAAAGTATCTTTAACAACTATAAGGGATATACAGTCGAGATATTGTGCTGATATTGCTATGTACACATCTTTTTTAAACTAAATAAATTATTTACATAATATATACAACTCAATAGTTCACGATTTTGTATTATCATATACTAAAGTAGATATTTTTCTTTCAAAGTACATTTTTTTTAAATTATACTTTTTTTTCTTGGAAAATAGTACCTACCTGCACAAAATCAATTTTCTTCATTCACTTTATGTTTATTAATGGATTAAAAATATAAGTATATACTATCTTAAAATTCGACTGGTATTGTTCACTCGATTTGTCGGAACATTATTGCAACAGATGGACATACCAACACGCATCTCCTACATTACACCTGGATTTTTCATCGGATGTCCAAAAGCTATGTCCACTTACCTAGAGCGTGCCCCTTTTGTGAGAAGTGGAAACAGTCGTGAGTGATGTAGGACTGGTGTATGACGAGGGGTAGCGCCTGCGGTGGGGGCTCGGGGGCGTTGAACAGCCGCATGAAGGGCTGGATCACTACTGTGAAGTCATCGCGCGTGTCGTAACGGCCTGAATCCACCTGTAAAATTAAGCTATAAATGTCACTGCAAAAATAAACTATTTTCACTAACTATTAACCGAACTAATAACCGAACATGGCCCAACTTGGGACTCGAACCCAGGATGTCCGGATCTGCAGGATGTACGGGCTAGCCACTAGATCACCGAGACAGTATTGTATCAAAGGTTTATTTATATAATAAAATTTAATGTCGTTCAAGAATGATCAGAGACCGTGATTTGCATACTTGCACATTTTTTAGCCAAGATATCACACTCTATTCCATATACATAGTAATATATAATAATATATATACATAGTAATACGAGTATATAATAATTGACGACACGCTTGGCTCAGTGTGTAGTGACCCTACTTGCTGTGCCAGCGGTCGCCGGTTCGAGTCCCGCTGGGGGCATTCATTGTGTGATGAGCACGAAAGTTTGTACTCCAGTCATGGGTGTTTATATTTATAATATGTATGTATTTAAACTTTATATATGTGTAGTGTATCAACTATCTGGTATCCATAACACGAGCCTCGTAGCTTACCATGGAACTAGATGGTGCTGTGTGTTAATGTCCCAATATATTATTATTATATTATTTATTCTGTCTGAACATCTCAATAATGGCGAATCTGCCCGACTCTGGCATATGCATAAAATTGCCATCATATTATTGCATTCATGGAAACGAGTATTGATATGAACGTATTCAAATGAATTCCTTTATTCAAACTGAAATATTTTACAAACATTGATAGATTGATAGATTTCTAAGAAATCTATTGTTAACTGTAAAGCTGGCGTGTCCACGGTCGTCAATGGAATATAAACCTTATTATTGATTTATTACCATTCATAATCATACGGCGTACCTACATAAAAATAGAATAAACGGGAAATCACCGTACTATCTGGCATGGGATAAAAGTTGCCAGCTCAGTATATATCACATGCCTATCAAATAAATGCATAATAAAAAAATAAATAAATAATAAGACACAGAAAATTATAAGTATCCTATTATATTAGTAATTATTTATATTACAAAAATAATAAAGATTTCCTTGAACCCTGCTTAATTCTGCCACTTTTTTGAATCGTCAACTTAGTGTGCAACAGTAAAAATTCTAGTGCCAAATCTGCCCAAATGACAGAATTCTGCCACAAATGGTCATACTGCATACAACACTAGTAAGGCACACTTAGAGCACGAGTGCTCTGGTGTCATCGTGGCAAAAAAAACTGTCACCGTCAGGCGTCACGTCACGTCATCAGAGTGGGGTGCGCGCAAGGAGGGTTTAGGGGATTTAGACAAGACGGTTAACTGAGAATTCATCATACGTAAAAGAAAATATCGTTAAAAATGCTGGATATAATTTTTTGCTGGGTGACATTATTCTATTGAATTTATCCCATTCTTTAATTTTCTAAAGAACGTCAAAATAGCCTATTAACTTTTTCTCAAAAGGGTGGATTTTTTTACTGAACAGCGACTAGCTGGGGAGCGGGGACGCAAGACATGCGTGGAGAGTGACATCGGAACCTAGCGGCGTGATAACTGATTCGTCACAGGCTTGTCGTCTAGGCAATTAACACGTCGTATCATGCACACGTCTCCATACATATTCATAGACTTAGAGTGACAAAATAGCCAAGTTGATAAATATTTGTTTATTTATATTCCATTCTTATAATAATTTTTAGCACTTTTTTCGAATTCGTATCTTTATACTACGGTGGCGCCATCCGTATTTATGACTTTGTAAAGGACACTTTTTCACTGACAGAGTCGTCTCTCTTACCTCTATACTCTATAGACCTTGTTGAATCGAAATAAATCCGTGAAAAACCCCGAAAATATAGTTATATTTAAAATGTTAAATATTTGCACAAATGTAAGAAAGTATCTTATAATGACGGACCTTTAATATTTTAATCTTGTTTAACCAGGTAGCTTATATTGTATAGTGTATAATCTGTGTATGAATTTACAAATTTGCCCTATGTAATATTGTGAGGGGAATTACCAAACCGGCTAACCACGGATCACATTAAACATTGTTGTTCTAGCTACATAAATCATAATACATTTATCATTTATGATTTAACAGAAGTCAGTATGCTTACTGTCGTCGACAAGAATAGGTACCTACTTTTGTTTTCAATAGACAATTTCGAAAAAAATAATCTTGGCGGTATTTCCTGTAATAGCAAACAAAAGGTAAGTTTTATTACGTTTAATATTACTAAATTAGAAATTATAATATAAATACACGACATATGACGACACGTTTGGCTCGGTTTATAGTGACTAGTAGTATTACTTGCTGTGCCGGCGGTGCGGGTTCGAGTTCCGCTGGGGGCATTCATTTGTGTGATGAACACAAATGTTTATACTTATAATATATATGTATTTAAAGTTATATATGTGTAGTGTATCAACTACCTGGTATCCATAACACAAGCCTCGTAGCTTACCATGGAACTCGATGGTGCTCTGTGTTAATGTCCCAACATAATATTCCTCAAATGCCTCATGTAAGCCACCAGACAATTTAAAAAAATGTTGGATACCACATACGTATTTCAGGATACACCTTTTACATTGATGTTTCAAAGTTACTTCTAATAGGGTGGTTTTTTTTTAAATATTGAGATAATATTTCAATATATGAGATAGTTTTCAAAATAACTTCGATAAAAATTATTTTGAAGAAGATCTATTGAATAGTTTTTGAGATATGGGATATTTGATTTTCACTTCAAATTTAATCTTCGTGTTTCACGTGTCCGATTTCCGTGTACAAATGAATGCATGAAAAAATCAAAAAAAATTGTTTCATTTGTTTAAATGTGTTTAATAGGAACAAAAAGGGGTTATTGTGAGTTAACTATAATAGTTAGACAGATACCTTGAGTTGTACTATTGCAATTTTCGTAGGGATCTCTATTTAAAAAAAATATAGCCCATGTTACTCGTTGATAATTTAGTTTTCTATATGTGATAGAATTTCTAAAATCGGTAAAGTAGTTTTTAAGTATAGCCATTCCAAAAAATACACAAACATACAAAAGTCTAATAATTTCTCTATATAATATTAGTTTAATTTCAATTTTTTTGTATCTTTTTCAGTGTGCTAAATAAAAATGAGAATAAAAGGCTTTTCCTCTTTGGCTGAAAAACATCTCGAAACATATCATTTGGAAAATACCGAAGTCGTAGTCGACGGTGAAAGTATGTACTATCAAGTGTGGGAGATGGTAGATAAGCCTTATATTTTTGGATCAGAATGTGACCAATTCGCTAAATGTGTAAAGGAGAATCTAAACAACTTTAAGAGGGCTAATCTCAAATGTCACTTTTTAATCAAAGGTGGTCATGAAAATAAACGGCCACTACATATAAATTTTATGATTGGGACGAGAATAAATGAAAAACACTTTGTTTTTGGTAAAAATAAAAATGTCAAAATTATTCAGCCATGCCTATATAAAGACGTTTATTTGCAAGCTTTAGATGAAATGGGGTTTGATTATACTATTTGTAATGGGAATGACGCTATCAAAGAATGTTTTGACTTAGCTGCAAGGCTGTCTTGTCCCGTTATAAGTTACAATATACAATATTGTTTTAGCGCAGCACCATACATACCATTCACCCTAAAAAATCTATCAAATTCTGACCAAAATGATTATATAAAATGTGGGATATTTAAACGAGATAACTTTCTACAACATTACAGAATTTCTAAAGAAAAAATGATAATATTTATATTGTTAACAGATACGAATATATTTGAGGAAAATTTTTATCTCGAATTCTTTAAAGCATTTCATACACCACATGCAACTTTAAAAGGATATGACAGTTTACTCAAGTGGTTGTCAAGTAAAAATGAAGCAATGATTTTAGAAACCGTTATCAAATACATTTCAAGCTCAAGCAAACAGACATTTCTGGAAACAAAAAATGATTTAGAAAAAAAAATTTTAAGTTGCGAAAATGAAGAAAGCGCAGCTTCATTGTATTTCACAAGCAGACATGATTTGGAGTTCAGTGTGCAAGATCCGCTATGGTTTGAGAAGGGAATCGCCTTCAAGTATATTGCCATTCCTTACATAAACTTGTACTACTCGGAGCGTGTTTTAGCCCCTATATTGGGAACAAATAATTGTCCAGATGGCACTGTTATAATTTCAATTTTAGAAATTATAAAGTATGCGTATGATTTACTTCACAATTTCAACGGTAGGAAAATTTCTATTAAAAATAGGGATGATGAATTAAATGAAATCGAATTACAGTCTATCTGCAAACCGGAGTATGCTGCTTTGAATTGTGTTTTTGAAAACGGTTGGAAAGATATTGATACGAAGCGACTTTTCGAACATTTTTTCAAAGAAAAATTTGGTTCATTTAACTTTGCCGCTTTAGAAGCTGCACCGGCAGATGCTAGATTGCTTTTAGTTGCAATGGTTTATTTTTCACGAATTAAAAAATTTCATGTGACTGTACTAAGTGAAATTTATAGCATTATTGTATCTTATGTCCTATTCGGGGTTGTCGCTGACAAGATGAGTCATAACCTCCAAGAAGGCAAAAGCCGTATTGATTTAAAAAACAAGCCCATTTTAGATGCAATCACTGATAAAGATTTAGTTACGACTCAAGACTGTGAATCTGCTAGCAAACTACTTAAAAAGTATTGCAATGTAAGCGAATTGGAGTTACGTGAAAATGAATTTGAGAGGACAAAAATATACGATTTGATTCAATTTGAAAGGTGCTTGCTAGAAATAAACTATCTGAACCAATTGTGCGGCTCACCCTATACGCCCACAATATATAGCAAAACTTATAATGGTAAATTCGTCTACAAATTTCTTCATAAATTAACAACAAAATACAACTGTTCTATCACAAATTCTAAGTCTTTGCGACCCTTACAAGTATTGGACGATGAGCTCAATCCTGCCGCGACTGTTCTCGCATTTGTGTCAGGCATGATAAAGGTATTTGAAAAAATATTTTACGACTATTGATATCTATTTTTTTATTGCATTTTTTAACATTAATTTATAGTGTGGTTTATTTTATATTTGACAATACAACTTTGTTAACCATTAATACATGAGCGTGACCAGCGTTTTATTCGAGTTCTAAGAGATCTTAGAGTTTTGTTCTAAAATTATTCAATTCTATCTATTCGTGTATTCTTCTTGAATAACTATGTGTATATAAAAATATTAAACGTTCACCGTATGTATGTATATGATACTGTCAAGTTCAACTTTTTTAATAATACATTAAATTTTTATTTTATTCAGGAGTTTTTATTTGAAACATTTTTGCCCAAATTATTATATAAAAAAAACTATTTTTATTTTTTTTATTTAATCATTTATTTCAGGCAATATTTTCAAAAAGATCTTGAATATGTAAACAGAGGCCCATAACATATATACCTTAATAACGAACATATATATAAAAATATATATTACAAGGCCAAACTAATACTTACAAGGTAAAGTTTCAAGGCGTAGGTTATATGGGATATTTCATGACATCCATTAATACCTAAGCTCTAATTGATGAAAATGGATACACAATTCTTAACTGTGTGGAGCCTTCTTATTGCACGCGTGAAACTTCATCAACAAAAACTATAATAGACCACGTATCAACCAACTTAAAAGAACATAACTTTAACCTAGCTATTGTAGAGTCAGCGATGTCAGATCATAAGCAGATGTACCTGGAGCTGAAACAATATTGTCCAGAAATAAAAAAGAAGATTCATTATGAAGCTATTAACTATGAAAATCTCTATAAAAATGTTGAGCAGGATATTCCAAAGGGTACGTTACTAGAGTATAGTGATCTTGAAAAAATAATTATTAAAAACATCAGCAACAGTAAATTTACAAAAATAAAAATTCTTAATCCTCCTAAAACCGACTGGATAAACAAAAATATAATTAAAGCCATAAATGAAAGAAACTTCTTATGGCAGCAACATAAAATTCAACCAAAAGACATAGAAATTAAACAAAAGTTTGTGAACAAAAGGGACCAAGTAGCTCAAGACATACAATTGACCAAAAGTAACTACTATCAAAAAGCATTTCAAAATTGCATCAAAAAACCGTTAAAAATGTTTAGGTTGCTTAATAGTATATCTAATAACAAAATCAAATATACTAGTATTCCCACAAAATTAGAGATTGGCCTTAACATAATAACAGACCCAATGGAAATTTGTAACTGTTTTAACTTATATTTTTCTACTATAGGTATAACGTTAGCATCAAAAATTTCCAAATCACTTCATACACATACATATTTAACGTCTGTCCCACCACTCTCAGATACTTCCAACTCACAGATATTATTTTCTGAAATAACACCTACTACTACGGATGAAGTCCTCAAAATAATTAATAATCTTAATAGCAACACTTCGGTAGGTATCGATGGTGTTAGCACGAAAGCTATAAAATGTCTAAGAAACTTGATTGTTGATGACCTCACTAATTGCATAAATCGGTGCCTGCATGATGGTGTCTTTCCGGACAGTCTCAAAATAGCCAAAGTTAGTCCAATTTACAAATCAGGCAAACGTACTGATCCTGGAAACTACCGACCGATATCAGTACTACCAGTGTTGTCCAAAATTTTTGAAAAAATATTACACACCCGTCTTAATAACTATTTAACTTCAATAAACTTTATTTACAGTAAACAATATGGTTTTAGACCCAAATCCAACACACTATCTGCAACAATGGATCTTATCACTAAAATTAAACTTAAAATAGACCAAAAACAAATAGCTCTGGGCATATTTGTTGATCTAAAAAAAGCTTTTGATACCGTAAGTACTGCACTTCTATTAAAAAAACTTAACGATATCGGTGTTAGAGGTACAGCACTAAACATTTTTAGATCTTATCTTGAAAACAGGCAGCAAGTAGTCAAAATAGGAGAATACACTAGCGACAATGCTTCAATTACATGTGGCATACCACAAGGCTCCATATTAGGTCCACTTTTATTTTTAATTTACATTAACGACATTAGCAATATTGGGTTAAATGGAGATTTAACGTTATATGCAGACGATACAAGTATGTTTTACTATGGTGATTCAATAAATTCTATCGTAAAAGATGCACAAAATGATTTGGTATATTTAAACAATTGGCTGCAGAGCAACTTACTTACTGTTAATACTGAAAAAACAAATTATATTATCTTTGCACCTAAAAATTAGAAAATAGGGAGTTTTGATCCTTTAACTATAAATGGTACTGTTGTTAATAGGACAAAAAGTGCAGAATATCTTGGTATTACTTTAGATAGCTGTTTAACATGGAAGCCTCATTTAGACAAAATTAAATCTAAATTATCTTCCTTGGTTGGAGTACTACGCGGCAATGTACGTTGTTTTCCCAAACCAGTTCGATTAATTATTTATAACATAATGGTAAAACCCCATATAGACTACCTAATTGAACTCTGGGGCACTGCAGCACCAACTAATCGCTGCAAAATACAAAGACTGCAAAATAAATTAATAAAAGTGCTTTTTCATTATGACTATTTGACTCCTACTGAAAAACTGTACCAAGAAACTAAATTTATGAGTATAAAACAAACATACGTGTATAATACTTCAATTTTAATATACAAAATTATAAACGAATTAATACATACAAATATATCCTTCACAAAGAAATCACATACATTAAAACATTCACTAAGAAATTCAAATCAAATAAGTTCAATTAAACCAAGGACTAACTACGGCAAACACAATATAATGTACGAAGGCGTTCAAATATTTAATAAATTACCATTAAATTTAATAGAAACAAAACCATTTCATAAATTCAAAAAACTTTTAAAAAATCATGTGTTAAACAATATACCTATAATTTAACAAATAAAAGAAAAATAATAATAATAAATAAAAAAATATATATATTCTTAAATGAAATACTTATACAACTGAACAAAATATAATCTGTATATTTACTAGAATAATATAATAGTTAACATTTTATTACTATACTCATTGTTATTACTAAATTCTATCCGTATCTCTTCTAGTAACAAGCTCTTTATATCTTTGTGTTTACCAATTAAGTACGTAAATATTCTAGTTGTAACACCGTTCTACCCACAACATTATGAAAAAATGATGTTGTTTGACTAAATATAAAATTTGTGTATTAATCCTATTACCTAATGATTGATATTTGATGTTTCTATACCTATAACATTTTTATTTCTGTTTTGTATCATGTTCACGATGTAAATAATATTCAACTACCTACTTATAAGTTTTCTCATTAAGTGAATGTTATTCTTTTGAGAAATAAAGCATCTTTAAACCGAAGCTCAGTAATACCTAACCTAAAAGGCTATAATCTAGAAAGTATATTTTTTTGACAAATGAATGCCGTTTCTTTATTTTTATTTTATGTTATATCAAGGGAATAGATGAATATATTTTTTTAAGGTGATGTCACTCCGGGGGAAAGTATAGGTATTATTGTACTATAAACTTTACCTTAAATATCCTAAGTTGAATTTTTATTAAATAATTAGTTAATTAAAATTATGTACGTATGTTTTGTACCTTTGTTATTAAATTCAAATAAACTTAACTACAAAAACCATATTTGTATATAACTCTGCCTCTCTTTTTAACCGACTTCCAAAAAGATTACAATATTTTAAGATATGAATATCTTATAGGTAAATGTCTTTTACGTATCGAAATATATTAGCGTTGCATCGGCTGGCACCGACTTCGAAACTATCTGCTTAGGTATCTATTCTAAATGAAAACCTTCGTTTAGTTATTTTTTACATTTTAGTGCCTGGAAGTCGGTTCTTATTTTTTGTTAAAAAGTTTTTTAGAATTTAAAGACAAAGAGCCTTTTCTACTAACACACAGATAACAACAAGAATATCAATGGTATTCTCGTATAAAATGTCTAAATTTATAAAAATAATAATTTAGGAATTATAATTCATATTCATTCTTTCATATTTCATCAATCAGTCTATCGCCGTACACTGATGAATAAAGCCCCCCACACAATGAGCACCAACCATACCGGTCCTGGGCAGCCCGTATTCATCCACGGCCTGCCACCTTTGTTAGGTTCACATTTAAATTTACTTAAAACTTACCAGTGCCATCTCAGCGGCCTGGTAGCGGCGCGCCTGGTGCACGAGCTCGGCCAGCTCGCCGCCGCCGCGGTGGAAGCACGTACAGAACAACGGGTGCATGAGGCGGCACATCAGGGGCCGTAGCACTCGCACTGACACCGATACATCTATCATACATAAAAAAACACGGTGTAATCCATTGATTTTTACGGAAATACTGTCAAATGCAAGGGTTGTCAAAAATACTTTCATGGCGTACGATTTCGAAATTAAAGTGCTGTAGTGCGATTGAGTTATATTATAGCCGTCAACCCTTAAGCCGTTTCCCGACTGTCGAATAAAAATAAGTATGATAGTCAGGTGCGCCGCACTGGCGTTTCCACCCGCGCAATTACCCTATCTATACTAATATTATAAATGCGAAAGTTTGTGAGAATATATGGATGTCTGGATGTATAGAGATATGGAAGTGTTTTAAGTTTGTCTCTTTCACGCAAAAAGTACTGAATGGAATTTAATGAAACTTTGCAATAATATAGCTTATACATCAGAGTAACACAAAGGCTAGTTTTTATCCCGAAAAAATGTACGTTTCTTCGAACCCGAGACGAACCCGAGCGAAGCGAGTGTTAGCCGATAGTACATACCTACATACGTATATGCGCATTCGTTAGACGACTGTACAGATTAGTAGGCTGTGATGTATCTTTACAGTTGCTGTTAAACACACAACAACCTTCAACCCGTGGCAAAATCATACGTAAAAAAAACAGTAAACTAAAAAAGTTAGATCTATATAAAGATTTATATAGAGTTTAAAAATGGCCGTACTATTGCGTACCTAATAGATATCTTAAAAAGGCAATAGGTTTCGTAATGCAATTACTTATATCATTTACTAGTATCCTGTATCACTACCTGTAACAGCGGCTTTACTTTTTAAATAGAGCCTCACTTCTTTTTAAAATGTGTTGCATCAGCGAGCGTATTATAGTGATTTTATACCATATTTTTTTTCTATCATTCCGGGGTATTGATAGTTTTCTAAGGTAAAATAGTAGCTGATTGTGAGCTTGTATGAAGCTTTCTCATATAAATTCACTGAAATTTGTTTATGGCAGATACACTACAGACTTCTCCAAATTAAATAAGCTTAATATAGTTATTAATATGTTAAATTGAAATTATATATAGACATCGAAATTACAACCTATATATATTTCATATTGATCAAAACAACAGGTCTCCTAGTACGGAAACGGAGGCTACCATATATGCTTTGTGTCGACACAGCCTAAGTAAAATTTTCTGTATAATAATATATGTATTTTTTTGTATGTGATATTGTTTACTGTTTATATGTTTTGAATAAAATTACCTTTTTTGGATTTTTTCGCGAATTTATTTTGGTTTTTGGTTCCCGACGTTTCGAATGCTTTACAGCAATCATGGTCACTGGAGAGACTAAGGTGTTAGATTTCAATCTCAAAGGCATTATATAGTTGTTACAGACAGACTACCCACAAAATAAGAAAATGAATTCAAAAAATTGAAAAAATATACCAAAGTACCTATACCTGTTTATATGTTTTTTGCTCAATAAATTATTATTATTAATAATAATTAATTCAATTCTTTACTATACTTACTTGACAGTCACGCAAGCTATAAGGAAAATCAGTACATTTAAATTCAAAGCACTGTTTATTGGCTATTAGATAAATCGTAGGCAACGTGTGGTCTAATCCATTTAAGCTACATTTTGAATGAAAATGTTTCGATTAATATGAAGGTGAGTTTTAGTTTCGACTATTGTATAATATTTTACAATTTTGGCGCAACCTATACATATAATAAAATTGTAACTAAGCCGAATCTGTACGTTAAAATATTTTTTGGAAAATCTTATTGAAATAAACATTATTAGAGGCCGAATCTATAGTTTTTAGAATTTTTATCTGTCTGTCTGTTAAGTACCACATCACAGAAAAACCACTGGAGGGATTTTGATGAAATTTGGTATGGTAATAGCTGGTTATCCGGGTCAACATATAGGATACTTTTTACCGCGGGAAAATGTCTCATTTCTGAGAAAAAATACAAAAACTGAAACCTAAGAATTTGGTAATCTGAACGCGGGCGGAGCCGCGGGCAATACTAGTCTGAGCTATAAGTTGTGTTATAGGGCAAGGTATCCGACCGAGGGAAATGATTATACAAACCGGTTCTGTTTCGCATAATAAACGATCATTTAAAATTGAAATCATTAAAATAATTACTTTTTCCATCTAAACATGCTCCAAATTCGTAGTAGTTTTGATTACGTTGGAATCTCATAATGGCAACGTTGCTCGTCTTATTATGGGACTGGCAAATAAATTTTAATGAGAAGTTTAGCAACAACATGTACCTACATAATATGTGAAAAAAGAGGCATAGTTTTAGTATTGAGGTACAAATGCTACGATGTGAAAAATAAAAATGTATATTATAATCTATACATATAATAAAATTGTAACTACGCCGAATCTGTACATTGAATATTTTTTGGAAAATCTTATTGAAATAGACATTATTATCGATACAGAAGCCGTCTATAGTTTTTTGAATTTTTGTCTGTCTCTCTGTCTGTCTGTCTGTCCGTCCGTCCGTCCGTCCGTCCGTCCGTCCGTCCGTCCGTCCGTCCGTCTGTCTGTCTATTTGTCTGTCTGTTACCGCATCATAGAAAAACTACTAGAGGGATTTTTATGAAATTTCATATGGTGATAACTGGTTATCCGGGTCAACATATTGGATACTTTTTACCGCGGGAAAAAAATTCTGAGAAAAATTACACAAACTGCATTGTAAGAGTATACTAATATGCAAAACCTAAGAATTTGCTTTTTGCTCACCTGAACGCGGGCGGAGCCGCGGGCAATGCTAGTTTATTTTATATGAACAAATAAAGGACACTTTTTTGTTATAAAAAATATTTAAGGTAATTATTTTTTATAGGCAACAAAGTTTTTGTCGAGTTTTTATACCAAGAGGTGGGTGTATTTATTCTGCTATTGCTTCTTCATTTTTTAATTCCTCACCTTCAAAATCCACAGTAGATGTATCATATATGTATTAACAACTAGCGACTCACCCTCGCTTCGCTCATGTTCGTTCCTAGGTGATTCTTTGAATTGACATAAATTTTTTATTTATGAACCGATTGAAATAAAACAAATACTAAACGTTAAGTGAAGCTTACCACAATATATTAGTGGAAACCGCACGTTCTGAGATTAGCGCGCACAAACACACAGACAAAAATTCAAAAAGTCATTGTTTTGGGTTCCATTACGTTAATAAATACCCCCAATAATAGTTCTTCTTAAATATCTTCCCCTCACAGACAGACTACACTTTTATTATAGTATGTATAGATTTTCTATGTCACTCGCGGCTCCTTTCCCGGGATAAATATTTATCGGTCTTATTTTTTTTAGAATGCGATCTATCGTTTTTATTCAAAGCCGTTCAAACGTAAGTATAATTAAATATCAAGCATTTTAATATATTCACAAAGTTTATTTATTAACGGATTTATGGAATAAACATTTACCTAAAACAGGAATGAGATTGATGATAGTCCTGGGCAAGTGTGTATGGAAGTAGTCCAGGGCTTTGGCCAGCTTCCTGGCGTGAGCGGTCGGAGACCAGGACACAGGGGACAGGCAGGAGGCAGAACAGAGGTCGTTGGCACCTATGAAAACTGTGATCATCTTCCAGTCGCGCGACACATCGATGTCGGGCGACGAGCGCATACGTGCAACCAGAATCTGAAATGTTAAATGTTATGGATAACTAGCGATCGACCTGGTCTTTGCCTGGCTTTAATCCAGTCAGGCACATGAGACTACTATTACAATGCGAAAGTTTGTATGTATGTAATATGTACATTTGTTTGTTACTTCTTCAAGGTGAAACGGCTGGACGAATTTAGATGGAATTTAGTATACAAATAGGTTATGACCTGGAGTAACACTTAGGCATACCAAGTTTTGACACCTAGGGGCGCACCCGAACAGAGTGCTGAGAGAGAGAGAGAGAGCAGAGAGTAGCTAGTAAATTCGTTCATGGTACCTACGTATAAGATCCTTTTACATATTCATATTAATATATTGAAAAATTATTCGTTATAACTAGCGCGCCACATCTGGTTAATTTTAAATCATAATTCATATCTCATATATATTCGCGTGCGAAGAAATGATAAATCATTCATTAAAGGTTCATTAAATTAGAGTCTAAATTTTTATAAAAAAAATCTTTAATTTCATAAGGTATTATATTTTAGAACTAAAAAAATTACATTACTACCTCGTCATTGGTATGATATCTGTTAAATCACCATTTATAAAAACCATATCGGTATATTTATGATATAAGAACCGAGAGAAAAGTGTTAACGGTTGATATATAATGAGTGTAGTAAATCATTTAATATGAAATCAATTACACGGCAGACCGCAGATCTTGCGATTATCTTGACATCACGTACGAGTATCTCCGGTAGAAACATTACGTAACGGATGTAAGCATCGCCTAATGACATAGTTCACACGAATTAGTATCTACTTACCTATAATTTTTTTGGCTATTTTTATTTCTAAAACTAGCATTGCCCGCGGCTCCGCCCGCGTTCAGATGACCAAAAACCAAATGCTTAGGTTTTACATATTAGTATACTCTTACATTGCAGTTTTTGTATTTTTTCTGAGAAATAAGATATTTCCCCGGAGTAAAAAGTATCCTATATATAGACCCAGATAACCAGCTATCATCATACCAAATTTCATCAAAATTCCTCCAGTGGTTTTTCTGTGATGCGGTAACAGACATACAGACAGACAGACAGACAAAATATCTAAAAACTATAGATTCGACCTCTAATAATGTCTATTGCAATAAGATTTTCCAAAAAATATTCAATGTACAGATTCGGCTTAGTTACGATTTTATTATATGTATACAATTAAGAGTGCCGAGACAAGCTTAATGAAGTGTGAATGATCCTATTGTTGTTACAGCTGATACCACTGCGTGTTAGTAATGAGAGGTAGTTAAATATTTCGTTGGATGTCGCGTGTTCACTTCTCGTTCTAGGCAAATGTTTATAGTTTTGTTTACACGAGGTTCTATTTTAATATACAAAATTGACATGTTCTGCGATTTTATTTGTATAATTATTTATTGGTCTTTAAAACTTTTCTCAATTTTCAATGTCCAACGAAAATTGTCTGGCAATAACGAAAGTTTGTTTTGACAATATTCTGTAAGATATATGTATGTATGAATGCTAATGGGAAGTAGTGGTGCTAATTTGCTAAGAAAAGGCGCCCCGTAAGGACGATGACGAATGTAAGGCGGCTGGTGCGTACCAGCAAAAGCAAATCTCAATGATAAAATAACATATAATGACCTACATAGGTCTTAATAAATGAAGTAGCTAACTAGTCTTACCTAGGACTCTATCGTCTTGGACCAAGATAAAAAAACTTTATTTTACATATTATAAATATAAATTTCACTGAAGTATCTATTAACGTTATTTAAGCTGTGGACTCGAACCCGCGACCGCTTGAGCATAATGTAATTATATCTACACTTGTGAATTGTCATCTACAATCTATGTTAGTCACTGTTCTTAATCCATGCCCATCCTTGTATATACAACCAATATAATAAAGTACAGCCGTTTAAGAAACGCCTTTCATTACCTACAAACAAGATAGACGATATAAAAATGCGAATATACTCTCCCGGCCGAAAACTGCTATGCAAATATTAAACCAACAAACATACTAGTATTATAAAAAATTATAATACCTATTATATTGGTAAGAATTAGTCGCAAAAAAAAGTTTAGTTTAGTAATTACAAGTAAGATATACCTAACTTTTCCCACACACGAGTACTGAATATATGTTATGAAATTTCTAAGTTAGAAGAGATTTCGAACAATAACATTGGCAAATATTTATAAAAAGGTGTCAATTTTGTCACAATGCTTGGAGGCCTAAAACTTAGGTCAAATTACTGAATAGATATTTCTTGTGAATGAGCTTACAACAAAGGAACAAAAAGATAATGAATTACGTAACAATTCGTAGGGTTAAATCAACGCTCCCACAACACAAATATGTATTGGCAATCAAATAAATAGATAATAACTGCCCATTAATTAATTTTGCTGAAACTTCAACTTTATTATTATGAACATTTTTCCTCAGTACCAAGAACAATGAAGTAATATAATTTGCACTTATGTTGGTATATACGCACAGACACACTGTAATTTTTATTTTACAGGTAGTTATGTGAGAATCACTGGCTAAAAAACCAATACTACTCTCTAACACCCAATAGAACCTCGCCGTCAACAGACCAAACATCCATGAGGTTGCACCCACCATCAAATCTGCTTTCATACTTTGAAAGCAATTTTTACAAGCCGCGCTTTACACCACCCATCGAAGTGGGCTACCTCCTAATAATAATAATTTGCTGTATTAGCGGTCGCGGGTTCGAATCTCGCTGCGGGCATTCATTTTTGTGATGAGCACGAATTTTTGTACTTATACGTACTATATGTGTAGTGTATCAACTATCTGGTATCCATAACATAAGCCTCGTAGCTTACCATGCAAGTAGATGGCGCTGTGTGTTGATATACCAACATATTTATTATTATAATTAGATATGTGTATATTGATTATTGATATTGAATTTGATGCCAGTTGAGAGCAAAATTACCTAGAAACATTACCTACCTACCTAGGTGCCGCACGTTTGAAACATGCGAAACAATTACCAAATTAATGAAAACCTACTTAAGTAGTTAGTTAGTAGAGGGTACCTTAATATCCCGGGGGAGAAGCCAACTCCTACCGGGCGCGTCCCCAGGTGGCGGATAGGGGCATGCCACCCGCTTAGAGGGGCGGGTGGTACCGGAGAAATCCGGCGCGGACCAAATGGCTTGGATGGGGCCGCTCGTCTAGGCCTCGAGCCGAAGACGTTGCGGCCACCGGTGGTGGGACCGCTTGGTCCCACAACCGGATGATGGGTGCCGATTGCGGGACTGTGGTCGCAGGCCCGCATTCGGCGGAGGGGTAGGCCGCGGCGGGAGAGGAGTGCCGGTATTTCGGTGCGCCGTTCTCCCTACCTTCCGCGGCCTAGACGGGGCCGCCACCGTTTGATGGCGGACGCGGTGGGGCTGCAGGGGAAGAGGAGTGTCGGTGTTTCGTTGCCGCTCTCCCTGTCCTCTGCAGCCGATTGGAGGTGGCCCACTTCGGTGGGCGGTGTTTGTGTGGTGTGGGGCTGCTCCGGGTACTTCTCTGATCAGCAGAGTGGACTTAGGAGCGGCCTCACTTTTTTGGGTTGTAAGTCTTCCCATAATGGGGTTGTCCCGCTTGGGGCGGCCTCATGGTTAGTGGCTTCGGCCAACCGTCGGGGCGTCGCGGTTGTATGCGAGAGCGATCCCGTGGCGCCCCACATGGCGGCAGAGGGGGAAAGTTGGGTTTTAGTGGGTATGCCGGTCTCATTAGCCGGAGAGTCTCCACATAACCACCCCGGGGGAAGTCGGGTGGTATCCGTAATAGGATTTCCCAACTATAAAAAAAAAAAAAAAAAAAAAAAAAAAAAAAAAAAAAAAAAAAAAAAAAAAAAAAAAAAAAAAAAAAAAAGGGTACCTTAATATAAAAATTCGTACAGTAAGTATAGGTGCGTTCTTTAATCTCGAAGTCATCCTCCGATATGTGTTCACCAAATGCAAGAGTTGGAAAAAATTACAAATTTTAATGGTAAACGGTTTTAAAGCGTGCAAATGAACCCAAAAGCCGTCTCCCGACGTTAAATAAAACTGCGTATGATAGTCGGGAACGCCTCACCCGCGTCCTACATTGCACGTCCCGCACGATTCGCATTATCAATTTATTTTGATGCCTTCATTAGACAACTGTATGGATGAGTAAACTGTGGAAATACCGTCGCGGTCTGTAAATTCAACAGCAAATATATGTAAAGGAGGTAATAAAAATTGTTGTAAAAAAGTTTACAACACGTTGTATTTCAACAAAGTACCTACTTTGTAAAGTAAATAATCAGCTACAACAGTAATTTGTATGTATCAATCTTTTTGTATATCGAGTCTAGATATCGATCATGAATGCATTAATTAGCCTAACTTTTTCTGAAATAATCTTTACTATGTAATAACGAGAATTAAAGATGTTATCCTACAAATAGTTGATCGCTGGTCCTATTGACATAAAAATTTGGAGGGTTGTGATGTAGGTGGTAGGTATCCATTAAGGGATTTTTGAAATTCCACCCCTAAGGTCGATTAACTAAAAAATTGGTACACATACTCTTCAACTAAAGTTATGAGACACTTGTATCACAGTTTTTCCAAAATCACCCCCAACAGATCAAATAGGGCCTCGAAAAAGGATTTTCGGAGCGGGTGTGTTTCCGGAAAAATTCTTACTAAAAACATAAAGCCATAGAATTAGTTTTTTTGTAGTTTAAACGCGAACGAAACCTCGGGTTCTGCTAGTATGACTATAAAACAAGTTAACCTACATTTACTTAATCCATTGAAATAATACTTCTACAATTCCGATTCGCTCTTTAATTTCGATTATATCTAGCAATGTTGTTTAAATGTGCCAACCGGACTACTATTATAATAGCCAAAATTAGTATTTATGTTTTTGTGTGTATGTGTCTTACTCCTTGCTGGACGGATTTGAAAGAAAATGAGTACTCAAATCTATACTAATATTATAAATCTGAAGAGTTTGTTTGTTTGTTTGGTTGAACGCGCTTATCTCAGGAACTAACTAATGGTCCCCCCCAACGTGCGTTCACCTTGTCGTGGTGGGGGGGCTCAGTAGTGCCCGGCAATCTAACCGGGCGCGAAGCTAAGAAGCGCACAGGGAGGTTGCCTACTTCGGTGGGCGGTGGGAGGTGGCCCCCTTTGGGGGGCGGTGTACCATGCGGGTTGCTCCTGGTACTTCTCTGATAGCAGAGTGGACTGTGGAGCAACCCCATGGTTGTGGTGGCCTGCTTCGGCAGACCTGCCGTCGGGGCGTCGTAGTTGAATGCGCAAGCGATCCTGCGACGCCCCATTAAGACGGGGGAAGGTTTTGTTGGGTTTTAGTGGGTAGTACTGGCTGTATTACGCCGGTGAGTCCCACACGTCGTGCGTAAATGCATTTCCCAAAGTTAAAAAAAAAAAAAAAGGAACTAACTAATGAGATTTGAAAAGTTCTTTTTGCATTAGATAGCCCGTTAACTGAGGAAGGCTATAGGCTATATATCATCCCGGAAAAATGTACGGTTCCGTGGGATAGATTTGTTTTTATCTAGGGACGAACCGGAAGCTAAGCGAGAGTGAGTCGCTAGTAGACTATAAATATGGAGTCACATAGGGACGCACCCGAGCAAAGTGAGGGTGACTTACCCTCTACTAACTACTCTAGTTTGACTCTAACTTTAATACTTAAATAACTATATGTTATATATAACTATATATTAATAAATTATAATTATATATTATAACTATATATTAATAAAATATAATTTGCTAAGCAATGCGTATCAAAAAAATTTAATTAACAAGTAAATGACTAATTAATGATTTATTTAGACGTAAAAAATGTTCCACATAGTTAGTGAGTCATTACAGCATTACGGCCGCGGCCCGAGACTTGAACCTACTATTGAGCAAATAATTAAACAATTGAGTAATAATAATTAATACTATGTGTGTTTGTACGTATTTAGCTACGCTTCGCTACGTGAAAAAAATTTCAAGCTCTATAACTTGTTTTCTATATATATATATATATATATATATATATATATATATATATATATATATATATATATATATATATATATATATATATATATATGTAAAATAATAATTCAGAAATAATTAATTAATTGACCGAGCGAGCTAATCGTTTCTGCTTCAAGTCTGGCAAAATTTGCTTTCCTCTGGTACTCCTCTACGGGTCGTATTTTACAACCGATTCGGACGAAACGTGGTACATAGGTTTTATTACTTTATAATTTTTTTTGTCGTCGGGGATTTTTGGCTGGAGGGGTACTTCCTCCAAAAAGAAAAAAAATGGATATCTCCGCCTTATGAGATCCAATTTCGATGGTTCATTTTTTATTTGAAAGGTAGTAACTTTAAGTTGGGCTTATAAAAACTTGGTGAAGATCTGATGAGGATCTTCAGCATAATGAGCAGAATAGCTCCTTAAAATGCAGTTTGTGGTCGCGAAGTTTACTGTTCGCAGAACTAGTACTAACATATGTAGAGAACTTATTAAAGAAAAAATTTGTATTACTACTAATTACTTTTATACTCTATATTTACTTATAAATTATAATAACAATAACAATGAAAAAAGAAGGTCTTTATTTCTCTTAATTATACTAAAAATATTTTGGTCTTTCATATTTTTAACATTTATCCAACGTCCACAAATGTTTATTTGGAATATATCAACTGGAATTGAATGTTTTCGAACTGGTAATAGACTCATGACGTTCAGTAAAAAAATATTATAATTTAATCCTGAATAACATATATTGAACGTTGAGTAAAAAGATGTTATTGTGATATTACAAACAGACAATGTAATTTTATTTATTTGTATAGATCAAAGAACTAACCTTAGCCTGTTTATAAGCATCCTGGTCAGACGCAACAGGGAAGGCCACATTGAGCCTTGAATTCTTCGAGAGCCACTCTCCGGTACCGGTGGAGTAGCCGCGGAGGTTCGGGTTGTATTCTTTAAGAATATTGGGTAGAGTAAGGAACTCTCGCCATGAACTGTCGCCTCCTGGGATATAAATATAGTAGATATTTTTAGTCTTTATGTTTACATTATGGATGCGGCTGCACACAGCATAACAACCCTGAAGTATCGGGGAGAAACTATTTGTTAGATTTTATTATTATTAAAGTTTGTATTGTGTAAGTAGTAAGTTGTTGTGTATTGTTTTTTCAGATTGATAGTAATCAAAAAAACTTGTTAGGGATATTATCATTAAGATAGAAGACATCTATGTTTAAAATTTCTCCTAGATATTAGAAAGTATGATATGGACCAACCTGCACACCAGGATACTCCTCGATATTCAATAATTGCTCCAAGCGCGAACTCCTCCAAAGCACCGCTACCCGCTACCAAGGAATCTCCTATCGCAGCAACCACATCTATATCACCTGGTCTCAACTTGTGTACTGATGTGGGCACCTGCCGACTGCGACCCCACGGGATTGACTCCTGGCAGGGAAACGGCGTAGTGGGCGAAAATGTGCGTTGACGACGCACGTTGGACTTGCGTTGTGGGTAATGTATAGTCCACTGAAATATGAAATAGATCTCTTAAGCAATACAAACTAAAAATAGTATATGGGGGACTGATATCTCTGACGTAACAATTTTGCACACATTTTAGATTTCTATAAGCGATAAGGATTTTAAACCGTAGTTCACCATTCCTAAAACTTTAAGTGTTTGAAACATATCATTTAGCCTACACTATATAATTTTATATCAATGTGTAATATATAAAACTTCCAGCAAAAAATAATTATGGAGAGCAAGTGTGGCGAAATCATAAAAGTGTTTTGGCATTTGATTTCAGAATTAAAAAGAAAAAAAAGATTGGATAATCTATAACAGTTATATTGTACAAATAAATAAAAGTCTATTACATATGCAAGGGCATAAGTAGCACAGCACAACTACGGCGAGATGTAATCATCAAACGATCACGAACAAACATGAGCTTATAAATTGCGAAAGGGACTTAACATCTTGATGTCTTTGTTCATAAAGGAGCACCATTAAAATTAGGCATTCGTTATTTTCAAAAAATATATATTATACTAGCGATTTACCCTCGCTCCGCTCGGGTTCGTCCCTACTTACGTTTTAATGTTTAGTATAGATTTTTTAGAGATGAAATATTTTCCCACAGTAAAAAATTTCTATACGTTGACCCGGATAACCAATCCTCATACCAAATTTCATCAAAATCTGTTCAGTGGTTTTTCTGTGATGCGGTCACAGGCAGACAGGAAAAATTCCAATAACTATAGATTCGGCCTCTGTATCGATAATAATGTCTATTTCAATAAGATTTTTTTAAATATTCAATGTACAGATTCTGCTTATTTACACTTATATTATATGTATTGACAAATGTACTACGAGATAACCTTACAATTTTAAGTAAAATTGAAGATATAACTTATTAAAAAAGTTATTAAAATAAAATAATTCTAAAAATTTTGTACCTAATTATCAGCTTTCAATTTAATATTCAGTAAAAGTGATGTACAAACAGGAAAAAGTGTTGATAGACGGAACTGTTATGCAAGTGTCATCGGTATTCGCAGTGACACTCGTCACTCGAGCGTGTATGCAAACTCTAATACGTGACCAAGAAAGTAAGACGCGAAAGAGTTCTTGTCCTTGTTATCGGACAATGTTAGAGCAAATAATAAAGTGTCTGTCTGTCTGTTACGTTTTCAGGCATAAACCGCTGAACCAATTTTGATGAATTTTGGTATAAAGATGGATGGAACCTGGGAGAAGGATAAAGGCTACTTTTTGTCGCAAAAATAAAACTTGAAGGGCGTGAAATATGGACTTGAAAGTTTGATAAGAACAATTAACCATTTCTCAAGCACGTAAAAATCGTTATATCCTATAATTTTGATAAATAAATGTTTCGGCGTTTTTGACCAATCAAGGTGATGATTTCTAGATTTTGAACGTACTTCCATACTTTTCTTTACCTTTGTATGTACATGTACATATGTATATAAATATTCTATACTAACCGTTAAAATGTACCAAGGGACGCACCCGAGCGAAGCGAGGGTAAGTCGCTAGTATTAAATAAATAAAATTTTAACTGAAGAAGCTAATTCTAATTGAAAGAAAATTCTTATATAAATAAATAAACCTATTAAATTATGAAATTCCCTTATTTAAATGATTTCTATTTTAATAACTGTGTACTAAGCACAAAAACTATAATTTTACGTTGCATAAAACAATAAAATATTACACATACAAAAATCTCATCACGAACTGTACATTAGGTCACTCATTTAGAAGTGTTACATATTGGCTTTGACCCAGAACAGATTTGAGACTCGATGCGCGAATTACAACCATTACAATTGCATACACACGACATCTAATAGCCATTCATTAAGCATCATACGAAAGCGCCGTGTACTGCGAACGCTATCAGAATTTCACCGATAGGTATTCTAGCCTCGATCACCATATATGGCGCTTTTAGTAGCACTTCTAATTGTTTTATCTTTATGCAGTCGTTAAATTATGTAATAAAATTTAGGGCACGTGTGTTAGAAATTTTAAGATGTGATTATAAAGTACAGACGGACAGATGAACACGGCGAAATGTCATAATACCTACCAGTCGCTCGTTGTTACGTGTACTGGTTTTTCTTCTGCTTTTGTTTACATTAGGAATAACCGATAAATTATTTCTGAATTTTCAAAAAAAAACTGTTACCATATCGATCGATATATATATATATATATATATATATATATATATATATATATATATATAATATATACTAGCGAGTCACCCTCGCTTCGCTCGGGTTCGTCCCTAGCATAGCTTGCTTTCCAATAACGATGTGAACGAAATGTTCTCGAGTAGCGACCACGTACCGGAAGGCCAAGCGTGGGCAGGCCTCCCACAAGGTGAACCGACGACTTGGTCAAAGACGCTGGAGCCCCGAGCCCATTGGATGCAGATGATGACTAAACGACATTTCTTACTAATATTTTTTTCTACGAACAAATAATTATTTATTCGTAGTATTTTTTAGTTTCAACTTTACCTAAGTGAGGTTAAGCAATCGAAATCGCTTTTCAATCTATACATATAATAAAATTCTAAGTGAAATCTGTACATTAAATATTTTTTGGAAAATCTTATTGAAATAGACATTATTATCCATACTGAGGGCGAATCTATAGTTTTTTGAATTTTTGTCTGTCTCTCTGTCTGTTACCGCATCACGGAAAAACCACTGGAGGGATTTTGATGAAATTTGGTATGATGGTAGCTGGTTATCCGGGTCAACATATAGGATACTTTTTACCGCGGGAAAATATCTTATTTCTGAGAAGAAATACAAAAACTGCATGGTAAGAGTATACTAATATGTAAAAACTAAAAATTTGGTTTTTGGTCATCTTAACGCGGGCGGAGCCGCGGGTAATACTAGTAGGTATGCTATAATCTAACTTAGTCGACAGAAAGTATAGTGGGTGTGGGTGTTCTATTTTCTCTTAGTGCATTTTGCTGTAGTACTTTTTACTTTTTATAGTCTTACTAATGAAGATGAAGCTATTACAAGTAAATAAGTACAAGTAGTTAGTAGTCTTAGTAACCTTATGGAGTCGGAACTTTTTGATGAGATCGTGCGTTACCCATGAAAATGTAGGAAGTAAAGCCACGTGTGTTAACGATTAACTTTAAACGATTATTACAGTTGCAACACAACTACAGGTAACAGTAGCAATACGTAGAACATTATAGGCATTATAGGTTGTAAAAAAGCAAATCGATAGGAAACCAATGAATAATAGTGAGAAATCTCTCTTAGCTTTCAGGCATAGTCATAATACTTATGTTTAACAGTTTAGTCGACGAAAATATATATGTATTAGATAAATAAAAATATCTTATATATTTTAGACAAAATTACATAAATTCTGAACTACTACGGTGTATATCAAACATATATATATTTTTTATTGAATAATACCAAGTGGTAGGAGTCTTGACACCCCTATGGATGAATAAATAAATACTTTCAAACAATTTTAAAGTCGACTTACCTTTTAAATTGAAAAAAAATAAATAATAATATTACGATAATGTATAATTCAGGTAAGTATTCGGATAAAATTATATCACTCGTATTGCATCGGCGTATTTCGTCACATCTCTATGTAAATTTAATTTAATGTTGCCATCATAAATTGCGCGTAAAGCGTTTAATTTTCTACACGCTGGTCGTTAGATGCTATATAAAATGTACTAAATAACGATTTAGTAATTCATTGAACGGCTATTGCTTATGATTTAACCTCTGACATCATTTCACTGACACCAATACGTACTTAAACAAAGAAGTTTGGTCATAACTTTCATAGTTTTTAACACAAATGTTAATATGTATGTACATTATGGTTTTTGAAATTGAATAAATTATAAAACTCATAAATAATTCTAAAGTTTTACGAAATTTTTATTTCCTCTAACTTCACGTAATTTCTCTTATAATAGAAAGATTCTAATGATATAATCACTGCACTCTTGTTTACACTGTAGGTACACTTATGTTAAAACAATCCAGGTTAAGTGGCGTTCTGTACTAGAACATAGCAGCAGCTACGTAAGACGTTGTGACTTACGAGTATCTTAGTCAGCGAGTCTAACTCGAGCATCGTGCGAACGACCACACATTATATTAGTATTATTTATACGTATTTAATATTGCTGTTTACTAAAAAAAATATATATGGTACATCGACTGAAAGTTAAATACGAAAGTCCCCTTAAAAGCCGATTTTTTTAAATATTTATATGAGACTCTTGCAGCATAATTATTATTAATTAAAGAAAGAATTTTGAAAATCGCTTTATTGCCGAAAATATCGCGCAACACACAAAAAATATAACAGAATTTAGTCAATTCTGTGTGTGTTTTTTAAAGTCGATTAAAAATGATCTTGTTGACATAGAAAAATTGTTCTTTTATTTTGAAGCTAACACTATAATCGTACCAAGTTTTAAGCTAATGAACTACCGTTTTTCAAATCGCGTGTCTTAACCCCACTGAAACTCTGGAAATTAAACCACAAACCGTACATAAAAAACAAGTTTTTTATAAGCAAAACAAAATTGATTGCATGATACTTACATAATTAAATCGATATGTGAATTTTTCGTTCCATGAATATTACTAGAATCGCAATCGATTTCATTTGACCCGGTGATATATTCAAAATTAAATAAATATTAATGTTACAAAGTGTTTTGAAAGATAACCGAAACGTATATTAAGCTCGAACAAATTACATTTAATTATTATTTCGAACAAAACATGAAATGAGCGATGTGCTCGGTCACTGTGACACGGTCAATCTCTGACTTTCAAAATCTCTTATATTATTTGATGCACGAAAATAATGTTTTTTTTTTTCAATAAAATACCAAGGATTGGTGCGAAATTAATAGAACTTCCAATATTTAGATTATAAAGAGTTTCGTTAAGAAACAAATATTATTTTTAACTTTTATTTCAGTTTTAAAAGAAAATATATTTTCCTGAGCTAAATGTATATGATATATCAACCTTTTTCTTTTCAGTGTCTATATAAAAGTAATATAAAATTCTAACCAACCTAATAACATATATATAAAATATAAATTAAAGTAAAATTTTATTGCTCTAAACTCCAGTATTTTCTTACTTTTTTATAAATGACTTAGCGACTCACCCTCGCTTCGTCAGGTTCGTTCCTACCTTGATTCCCCATACAAACTTTCATCCCCGTTTTCACCACCTTAAGGGTTGATTTCCGGGATAAAAAGTATCCTATGTCCTTCCCAGGATCTCAAACTATCTTCTTACCAAATTTCATCTAAATCGGTTCAGTAGATCGAGAGATTAGCCCCTACAACGTCACAAACTCATTAACTTTACCTCTTATAAAGAGGTAAAGTTATATATAAGTAAGAGGTAATATTAGTATAGATTAAATATCAAAACTGACGAAAGTGCTCTCTAATCCAGTGACGTGATTCACTGAGTCTAGTATGTCACAACTGAGGAACATGATTTGGCAGCACTCGTAACCGGAGACTCTTACAAACATTTTTATGTACTTTAATTTATGTCACTTTTTCCATTGTATTGTAAATAACTCGAAAAAGATTATCTCTTATCTATACATATAAATAAAATTGAAGTGTCTGTTTGTAATGTCAAAATAATAGATTTTTACTAAAAGCACATGAAAAATTATACGGTACATACAAGAAAAAATCATTTTTTTAATTCTTGTCTGTCTGTTTTTTCCGGCAAATCTCCGAAACCGTTATACTTTATACTTTTACTAGCGGATAGCTGATGTTATTAGGAGTACATCCACTTTTATTTTAGAAAAAGAATCATCCCTGATTTCCATGCAAAAAATTAAAACTCACCCGCACAAAGGGACGTATCCAAGCGAAGCGAGGGTATGCCGCTAGACGTCAATAAACAAGCGGCAAAGTAGAAAACCCAATATATCTAAAACGAAACCTTCTAATCTAAATAATATTCCAACCGACAAATAAACAGAACTAATATAGTTTCCTAACACCACTAGAATTTAGATGATTAAGTAATTCTTCCAAGTTAAACGGTCATGTTAGCAATTATGTCTCAATAATAAAGATTAATGTTTGAATTATAATGAATTGAATGCTTCTTTATTGCAGCATAATATTGGTTTTATGTTTAATATTTAATTTTAGATAAACTTAATAATAGTATCTACATGAATATAATATAATTTGGTTCCCCATACAAACTTTCATCCCTATTTTTACCCCCTTAAGGAGTGATTTCCGGGATAAAAACTATCTCAAACTATCTTCTTACCAAATTTCATCTAAATCGGTTTAGTAGATCCAGAGGTTACTCCCTACAACGTCACAAACTCACAAACTACCTCTTTATAATATAAGTATAGAAGTATAGATAAGATAAAAATGTGTATCTATACTAATATTATAAAGACTAATATTGTAAAGTTTGTGAGTTTGTGAGATTGTGAGTTTGGGACGTTGTAGGGGGTAATCTCTGGATCTACACAACCGATTTAGATGAAATTTACTAAGATAGTTTGAGACCCTGGAAAGGACATATGTAGGATAATTTTTATCCCGGAAATTATCCCTTAAGGGGGTGAAAATGGGGATGAAAGTTTGTATTAGGAAGTAAGCTAGGAGCGAACCCGAGCGAAGCGAGGGTGAGTTGCTAGTTTAAAATAAAACCTCAAAAGAGAGTGATTACAAAATCCTATGACGCGAAAAGTAATGAATTGTACATATTGCATAAGAACCGGTTAAAAGTTGATATCACAAAAATGTCGTTTCAGCTTACCCGCTAATAAACTAACTATGCCAGTTTGAAGCTTAGAAATATTTTTATGTCGTATGTTGTTTGACCGACATCAAAAAAGAGGATTGAATAGGTACTCCCTAATGAATTGGGCTGTAATTTGTGTGGGTTGTGTTATGTTACCTTATATTTTCACCGTTTCTGAATCGATTTTCATATTTGTTTTTATTTAATAAATACTCGTACCTACCTCAAACAATCCCACATAAATGTTAACAAAGTATTAAAGTATGCCTCCAAATGAAATAATTACTTTAAGTGATATAAAGTCATTGTACTTTTTTGTCAAAAAGTTCATTCGGTGACATATAACATCAACAACTAATAACATCTGTTATGGTACTAATGGAGACTAATTTAATTATCGGTTTTGAAATTTTAAATTCTCAAACAATAGGGCATAAAATGAGAAATACTAAGCTAAAATATTTAATTCAGGAAATACATATCTATACTAATAAATGGAGAGCCGATTTTTTATTCGGTTATACTGCGATAACTACTGAACCGATCGGAATAATACTCATACCATAAGATACAGCGTGTTTCGGAGAAGGTTTTAGTATATGATATGTTGGTGATTACGCTGAAACGTACGTGAAAACGCTAGTATTTCATATTATGTACACGTCATCGAAGACAATCCAAACGGGATACACCTGCTAGTCTTAAACACATACCTATTTATAACCAAAAAGCTTTTGTTTTATCCGAAAAACCATGTCGCGTCAACAATCAATAGACAGTAAAAATCAAACACGTAACGATGTTAGGTTGCTGTTATGAAAGACCATATGGACACGGTAATGTTAATATACATTATACATATAACATTACCGTGATATGGAGGTCACGGTCTTAAAAGAATATTCTCAGACATTCTGGCGTCATTTGACACCTCATCAGTCATCACGGTCCGATTTAATTACGAAAAGCGTCTTGTACAAATTTTAACCTATAACTAAATATTTTATAATATAGACCTGTATAAGTATATAAGCGTTTGCATAAAAACACAAGTTAAGCATGTGGGTTGTTTCTAAGCCAATTCGCTCCTTGGTCAAGCCAATAGTTAACGCATTACAAGTTTAAACCCAAATCAGGTTCTAGAAATGTGATCTATGTAAATCGAACAAGCTTTTCTCATATAAGCGTCGAAAATGTCGTATTTGTATAAAAATAAAAATATATTAATAATAATTTATGTTAGTCAACGTAAATTATAAGAAAAAGTTTCCTTAATTGTTTGCATTGTCATTCTCAACATACGAGTATTTTTATGTGTATTATGTAGACTCCCCGGAAATCCTTACGCGCCAAATTTGCTTTCGCCATTTCCGCAATTAAATTACCTAATTCTACTCTCATAGGTACGAGTACTAACGAATAATCATAATAACATTTCATTTATACATACGAGTATAATAAAATTCTAACTGAGTCGAATCTATACATTAAAGATTTTTTGGAAAATCTTATTGAAATAGACATTATTATCGACATAGAGATCGAATCTATAGTTTTTATAATTTTTGTCTGTCTGTCTGTCTGTGACCGCTTTGAGGAAAAATCACTGAAGGGATTTTGATGAAAGGTATGATATAGCAGATTATCCAGGCCAACATTTAGTAGTCTATGGGTTCCTAAACCATCCGTAGAGTCGTACCCGAGCAAAGTGCGAGTCAGTCACTAATACATTATAAAAATAGATACAAGAGCGCAGCTGTGGTAGAAAACTGGTGTTAAATAATAAAGTGAACTTAACTAGCTTGTTAATTCATAGTTCTGATTTTATGTTTGTTACTTAAAGCAATCGGCATAACACGTAATCTATGGCATAGAAAGGGGCAGAGCGAGTATATACCTACATATTACAAATTATAGCAATATGTACGACTAATACCAACTTAACCATGTCTAAATCAGATCTACTTCATAGCATTAAAATGTATAAAAGTAATATTTCACACGAATATTCGACATTAAAAAAAAATATCTTTTCGGTTTTTTTCACGTAGACTAATGGCCGTTTTCACCGACGTCACCTAAGTTTAAGGGATCCCCTAAGCATGGTTAGGGGGCTGTTAGGGGACAGTTTCTGTTTCATCGACAGTTTCTGTTTCACCGACAGTTAGGGGTCACCTAAATGTCAAAAGGCCACCTAAATATAAGTACTAGAAATATGGGCTCTGATGATGATAAAACGAAATTTAATTTAGGGGCTAGTTTAGGGGAACTTTTAAGCTAGGGATCCCATACGTAGGTGGTAGCTTA